ACAATACCCTGCACCTGTAGTAATAATCCTCAACGAGAAGACCGTCCAGACGTTTAGTTTAGGGCACCAGGCTTGTCCAGCACCAGTGCTGCAAGGGCACAAGCAGGGAAACGGAAACACAGAACAACACCCCAGCGCGTCTCCCGAGCGCCAGCGGCGTGAAAGGCTGCTGCGTGTCGACCTCGTTAGAGTCAGTCGCCCTGGCCTCTCTAACGACCGTTGCTTGACTTTAATTGATCAAACAACGAAACGATATGCTAAATCTAAAGGAAGTATCCTGAGCAAGCCTTTAACTTCCTGATACTTTATAGTTCTAACATTTCTCCCTTAAATAGAAATATAATTTGGTAGAGAATTCTCTGTAAAAAGAGAGACAGAAATATTTCCCAAACAAAGTGGGAAAGCCAGTTCCTAAGCATGATAAACACTAGCAAATGACTTATTTGTCTTAAATGTCTTCAGTAAATACAGCTTGTCCAAGGATCACTTCCTTATTGAGAGTTGGGAGACCGGGATTTAGTGCTGAACACTTCAGTGTAATTACGACAGTTTACCTCCTATGCACTTCTCCCTAAACACGAGGCACGAGTGGAACAGAGCTGCTGACAGGTCGCCGCCCGGCTTAGACACCAGACAGGAAAATGGGTTTAAAGAGAAATCAGTTAATGGAGAAACCAGAGCCCTTGCACACTCATGGTAGGAATGTAAAAGGGCACAGTCACTGTGTGAACAGAACAGCAGTTCCTCAAAAGGTTAAACACAGAATTGTGTGACCCAGCAATCCCACTTCTGGGTATATGCACAGAAGAGTCAGAAGCAGGTCTCGAAGAGGTATTGGTGCACCCATGTTCACAGCAGCACTATTCACAACAGCCAAAAGGTAGAAACAACCCACATGTCTACTGGTGGATGGATGGATAGATAAAATGCGGCATATCCACACAGTGAAATACTATTCAGCCTTAAAAAGGAAGGAAATCCTTACTTAACACCACTGAACTGTACACTTAAGAATGGTTAAAGGGCCGGCCCGTGGCTCACTTGGGAGAGTGCGGTGCCGATAACACCAAGGCCATGGGTTCAGATCCTAT